CAGCACAGGCTCCTTCATCACAGACTATGATCAGTTGCTAGGATAAAGCGTCGGCTTAGCCCACATGGATGGGCAGTGTGCCCAGCTACCCTGCGTGGTGCACTTGAGGAAGCTGACCCTTGCCGACTGAATGGGCCGCCTCTCGAGGGTCCCAGGCTGGCCTTGCTGTGGTGCTGGTTAGAGGGAAGGGTTAGGGGTCCTGGCCAAGGAAAGTTAGGCTGGTGTCTGTCCCGGGGTCAAGACCTAGAGAGTGACGTTACATGGAAGTTTGAAGGCAAGAGAGGAGGGAGACAGGACAGAGACAAGGACGAACTGAGGAAGGGAGGAGACATGATGGGTGAAGGTCGAGAGGGGTCCAGATACTTCGCCCTCGGGGTGTCTGTCTATGGCTCATCTTCCTGGGGTGGTCAGTGCAGGGGCTGAGGGTTATCACCTCGGTTTGTCCTGTCGGTCTGTTAGATATGGGTGGTTAGAGACTAACGGGACAGGAACTAAACGGTGGAGGTGTGTGGGCCTCCTTGTCCCCAGCACAGCTAGAACTGGTGTAAGCCTTTCAAAAAGATCACTGATCAGGAATCCCTGGATTCTTATCACTTACCTTATCACTGGGTGAGGTACGAGCTCTCCTTCCAGATGATGTTTTAAAAGCTCTAATCTCAGTGCTTGTCTTTAAACCAACACAAGAGCTAAAAATGGTCATTTACCACCAGGGTGTGAAGCCTGGTGTTTTGCTAGGACCTTCATCGATCTATTCCTTCCTCCATGGGCATCCTGGGAACCAAGTCCTGGCCGTGACCAAATCAGCACATTCTGCCATCAGACCTGTATCTGCAGGATGCCCACCAAACACTCCAAGCTTGGAGGGAAGGGCTAGGGGTCTTGGCCAAGGGAAGTTAGGCTTGTGAGAGCTGGGCCAAGGCCAGAACATACATGATCTATTAATATTAGCTGCTCAAAGGGGCAAACTGTGCTAGAGACCCAGCTAGACGATGGATTTCTCTTTATTCCCATATTCAGGCTGCTTTGTTTGGGGGCAGTTCTAATGAGTCCAAGTGTGGATGGAGAAAGACAAAGCAGTCATGTCTCTTGACTGATATTGTTGAGAAAAATATGCTGTTTACATATTGCTAATCATGGCCTGGGGAGAACTCACAGGGACAGGATAGGAGGGGACCTCCTTGGTTAAACATCCAAGTCAAGGATGAAGGTTGTAGTAACAGGAACCAACTAAGGATCTTGTCCCTTCGGTAAGGTGCCCACACTCCCTGCCAGGCCACAGGATCTGGGGGTGGAAGTGTCATGGCAGGAAATACGCTTACCCAAGGGGTGTATCAATGTCCTTTATGGGCTTTTTTACAAACGACAACCTCCAGGTTCCCTCCCACCCCATCCCACAAAGGTGGACTGGGGCCCAAGGAAGCAGACATGGCTAGCACAGCTCTGTTCATCAGAGATTTGAGGATACTTTAGGACCAGAGAGACTTCCATTAGGCCTTATTCTATACCCAAATCTAGAAATAAATCAAATTCTGCTATTCGCGCCAGGAAAAAAAAAATAAAAATGAAAGAAATGCATCAGCTCTGTCTACATCGGTGTTGAAGCCACCGTGAAGATCCTGCCGTGTGGGAAGCAGGCGTTTGGCAAGACATGTTTCTGACAAGAAAAGAAAACCCTGAGAGAAATTTGTTTTAGCAACCCGAACGGGAATCCTGTGTGCCTCTGAATTCCGCCTCTAAACGTCTTCCTCAGTGAAGACAGCCCACGGCTGTGACTCAGTCCTAGGCAGACTGGAGTCTCTCCAGTGAGCTAAGGGGCTGAGTGCGAGGTCCCCTTGGGAAGTGCCACCTTAAGCAGCTTTATCTTAAGCAGCTTTAGGCCAGAGCTTGGCTGAGTGTGGATGAAGGCCTCCGAGGTCCCGCTGTGGGAGGGGGAGCCGGTAGCAGAAGTCGCTGCCATGCCCACTGCTGTGCCTCGCGGTGCCGGAGCCCACTGTCCCGTGTCTCCAGGACACACACAGAGTGTTTCCGGTCTCTATATGGTGGCAGGGATACCGTTTCCAGGGTTAGCCATAGACAGACGAGGAGACCAGGTGAACGTCTGATGGGAAAGTGGGTACTTCATATCCAGTGACACGGGAGACAGCAGAATGTAGGAAATACCCGGAGTCAGGAGACCTGGGTTCTGGTCCTGGCCCCGTCACTCAGGTCCAGCGGCCCAGACTAGCTAGGCCTTGGTTTATTCCTCTGTAACATGGGGATAATATAGGGTGTTCTCACGTGGATCTAATGAAATAATGTGTGCATATAAAATTTATATAAAAGAAGGTCCCGGTCACGTTATTTCTAAGGAATCCCTCTACGATTGCTATCATCAGTCAAGTTTTCCATGGACTCCCGTGCCTCTTTGTTCATGGAGTTTGCATGAGAACTTCAGTTACTGTGCAGAGCTGCAGCCAGCTGATGTGAACAGGACACCTCGGGAGAGGGTGTTTCTGGGGAGTGAGGTCCCGTCAGTGCATGGGGGAGCAGGACAGGGTCAGGCAAGGAGCTTCCAGCCTCCGATGGGAGAAGAGGAGGACGGCCCGCAATGCAGTGAGCGGCCAGACGTCCACTGTGAACTGAGACAGTGGGCGAGGAGCGAGATGAGGCCCTCCGACTGTGTGTGGGAGGAAGGGGAGTGGGGCCTGGATGGCAGGGGGACGGGGTGGCCTGTGAACGAGAGCAGGCGGGTCAGTGACGCAGGGACAGCGCCTGCTGTCTGCGCCTGGAGCCGAGCTGAGCAAAACACGGCGAGAGTCATCTCATAACTCACAGGGGTACCTTGATGACACAGTGGCCTTGACTGTGAAATGTAGAAATAAGGTAATGATAATCACAACCATAGCTATCATTTAGGGGGTGACACCTATGTGCAAAGAGGCCAGCATCCACTTCTCACTTAGTCACCGTTCTCCAGACCTACGATCGCTAGTCTATGCACTGAGCATGCTCGTAGCTTCCTGCGCGGAGCCTCCGTGCAAGCTCCCTCTGCGGGATACTCTCCCCCTCACTGCTCCCACATCTCTCATCTCCTCGGGGAGGCTTCCCCCGCCTGCTCCCGCGACCGCACTTCCACCTGCCCCAGTACTCTCTCCCCTCCACCCTCTTGGTTCCTCTGGACAATGATGGCCGGGATGTGCGCCTGTGTTTCTCTGTGGCTTTCGTGTCTGCGGTGGGTCCTGTCACTAGGTTATGGCGGAGTCTACGGGATCTGCAGGACCCCCCGTCTCTGCAGCCCTGAGTGCAGCGCCGTGCACACAGGAGCTCAGGAAGGGCTGTGTTGTGCATGAGGGCTCCTCAGAGCCATCCTCTGGGGCACCTCCTATTATCTCCATTTTACAGACGCGAACTAAACAGTTGTTCAAGGTCACAGGTAAGGGCAAATCCAAAATCCCATGCTCAGAAGTGCCAGACGCAGAACCTAAGCTCCTTGAACTTGACTTTGATCCCTAGGCTCATGGCCAAGTCTGGGGTGCTGTGGGATTTTCACCTTCTAGAGACTCCCAAGCTCGACTCTTTTGGTTTGCCGAAAATATTTCAGAAAGCCTCCCCAAACACAGGGTGATGCCACACATGTAGCCTGAGCCCTGGAGGGCAGGTCTGAGTTAGTGAACAATCTGAATAACAGACTATTTGAAGGTCATGTGTGCGCGCCCCCTCCCACCCGCCAGAGGGGCCTCTCCCTTTTTTGAATGCCAGTTCCATTTCTAGACTTGACCTTTCCACTGAGAGCCACTGTGAACTGCCTGGTACCCATCCTATCTTATCCCCTCCCGTTCTGCTGATCAGATTATAAAGTCCCAGAGGGCAGGGATGAGTCCTCTTTTTACTGTGTTCCCCTTGATGCTGGAGCACATGACAACAGCAGTAAAATAAGCTGACAGTATGTTGACAAGGGAAGGTTCTGCCAATAAATCAATGAAGTTAAATCTCGGATAAAGCCACAGAGATATTCCTTGTCACCCCCACGCATCTGGCAGCTGGCGAGGACATGGGGAGAGATTATGCAGGTGAGGCTACTGACCATCACTTCTGGAACGCGTGGCAGCTCTGCATGCCCTTTTAAACCCTGTCCGGGTAGGGGATGAACCCCCGCTCTGGGAGGAGCAGGGTAAACACTTGGCATTGCTCTCCCCCATCTGACTTTTCCAGTTTTCAACTGCACCCGTGTGTTACTCTTTCCGGTGCTATGACCATGGGGACCGACAGCTGACAGAACACAAGCCCTGCCATCCAGACCCTCCTGCCATCCAGTCTCTCCATCTCTTGCTGAATCTCTGCAGAGAAGGCCCAGCTCCCGGCACTGCGCACATCCTCTGCTGGGGTGGCTGACACAACAGGTAACAAAGATTTTATGGGGTTGGCGAATCTACTGCAGACGTGAGCAGGCCCAGACCCCTGGTCACAGGAAGGCCACTGTGCTCTGTGGCTTAATTTTAGGCTGACAGACAAGAAGCCTAAGATCCACAGCACGACTTCCTGACTCTGTCTAGATGTGACCATTGTGGTGACTCACACAGCAGTGGCAATTCTCTCGCTGTCACGTCTCAGTTTCAGAAAAGCAAGTGATCTCCCTGACAAAGCTTTTCTTTTCTTTTTTTTAATCCCACGGGACTCAGTACAACTCTTTCCAGAATGAATTTACAAAAATGCCTACTGACATCTTCATTTTTCCCAAGTTGGTGTCTGCGTAAAAAGCCACCTCCACATTCTTCCATGGGCCATTTGTGGTTATTCTCTCTCTCCGACCTCACCCCTCCCGGTGTCCAGTCACACGCACACTCTTCCTCAGCTTTCCTCTTGCCCACCTGCCCCGTGAGAACTCGGTGTGGTCTGCCGGGCGCGTGCGTCAGCCACAGATGGTTAAGTCTGGTGTCCCCACTTCTGTGAGGCGAGCGTGAAGGACACACACCTGCGTCAGGCACGGGGGCGGGGGGGAGTGGTCTTGCCTAGAGACTCACCCAGAAGGTGCTGGAAGCGCGGTGGCCTCCTGCGGAGGCCGTGGTGCCCTCGTCGGCCGCCTTCGCACTGCAGCTCTGGGGCTGTGACCACCCCGGCTCTTCGCCCATTTGCTGCTCACTTCTGCTCTTCTGTTTCCTTATGATCTGGGGAGGAGGCAGGTGACACAGGGGGCCAGTTATTGGAGAGACTCTGGAAGCTGTGTGGAGTAACTGGGACCAGCTTTGGGATTTTTCTTTTAGCCACGTAAGAGCTTAGTTTCAGCAGAATGCCAGCCTGTTTCAGACCCGCCTTACGATAAAAGAGTACAGCTACCGCCTTGAGCATGCTACAGCACTCTACAGTTCGCAAATAATCATTTTAAGAGGCAAATGACTTCTTTTATTTATTAAATGCCTACCAAATGCCAGACTGTGGATTAGGCAGTTAAATTCTTTACCTCGCTTAATCCTCAAAATAATTCTAAGGGCTCTATATTATAACTGTCCCCGTTTTACAGATGAGGAAATAGGCTCAGAGAGGTTAAGTTATCAGTTAACCTCTGCACAGCTCATGAACAGTGGAGCTGGATCTCCAATCCAGAGTCTCTGGCTATAATGATTTCAGGAAGCATCGAGAAGGCCTATGAAGGGGGCAGATGCCAAGAGTCCTCAGAGATGGCCTCAGCTTGCTGTACCACTTGCTGTGTTAGCCACAGTCATTTGGATTTAATGAGTCCCTCCGTACAAAGGTCTCTGGGCTCCGAAGTTCCTATAGGCAGAAAGCAGCTGAGAAAAAATCTGAGCCACCAAGGTGGGGATATTCACCAATGCCATGTTAGCTCAGATGGGATGAGGAAGAGGAAGGCTGAGAGCCAAGGAGAGCCATGAACTAAGGTGCCATGCCCAGCGACAGACCGGGGCCTACTCAAGGTATGGCCACCATTTCCAGAGTGGGGACCGGGCCCCATGTGCCCAGTGGGATTTCAGAATTGCCGTGGACCAGGCGCCTCCCACCTGTGCAGGTGGGAGGGATAGTGCTGCTTTTCTGTCTGTGTCCCAGCGTTATATGTTGGGTATGTGGGGGCGGGTGACTTGTTTGCTTAACTAATATGTCTCTGGCTTAAAAGGATCTGAATCTGGATTAAATGTGAACTGTGATTGAATGAGACATTTTTGCTTAACTAATATTGTTGGGTATGTGGGGGCGGGTGACTTGTTTGCTTAGCTAATACGTCTCCGGCTTAAAAGGATCTGAATCTGGATTAAATGTACTTTGAACTGTGATTGAATGAGACATTTGGGGGTATTTGGGTGGGGTGACTGTATGTGGCATATAGAAGGGACACGAATTAGTGTGACCAAAAAGGAAGACTGAGTTGGTCCAACACTCCGTGTACACTGCTCTTTGGTGTGTGACTGTGCATTCTTCCAGGACAGGGAGAACATACAGTCGACCCTGGAACAACACGGGTGTGAACTGTGGGTGTCCACTCAAATGCAGATTTAAAATATCCATGTAAACGTGGATCTGCACAGATCAAACCCGTATTGTTCAGCAACAACTGTGTCTTTCGATCTACAGTTGGGAATCTGCGCAGGCGGACGGCTGGCTTAAATTACACGTGGGTTTCTGATTGCATGGGTTGTCGGCACCTCTAACCCCTGCATCGTTCGAGGGTCAGGCGTACGTCACACCTGTGGTTTTGTGTTCACCATGTGCCTTGCTCTGGCCAGTGACATGTGAGGACGGAGGGGATAACAAGGTGCCAGGGCTGGGCCTAGGCCTTAATAGATATCGCTGGCTTCCTCAGGCTCTCTTGTGCGTCCGTCATGGCCACGAGCAGCCGATGTGCCTTCGGCCTGGCCCCAGGGTGACCACACTGCATGGACTTGATCCCAACCCTCTGGTGGGCACGTGAGTCAGTAGATGAAGCCACTACAGAGGCGTAAGCAAGAAATCAATTGTGGCATAATGAAAAAAAAAACATATTTGCTGTTTGACTCTGATTCCTGGCACAGAGCTTCAAAAATCCTTGGACTTCTTTAAGGGACAGGAGTGTCTTTCTTATGCTAATGAGCTGACTGATGATGGCCAAGGCCACTAGATAGATGGAGGCTGATGGCTAGAAAAACTGACTGTGTGAACCAGGAAACTTTTCATTCCACTCCAACTTCTGGGGACAGGAGAGGGACCGGAGATTGAGTTCCATGAGGTGGTCAGTGAGTTAGGCAATTAACGTAGTGAAATCGCGATTAAAACTCTGAAACCCTGAGCCTTGGGGAGCTTCCTGGCTGGCACAGACACTGATGCGTTGGGAGCGGGGCGGGCACCGAGAGGGCATGAAGCTCAAACACCCGCTCCACAGACCCGGTGGTCCCAAGTGCCTCTTCACCTGCCTGTTCATTTCTATCCTCTGTTATAAACAGGTCATTATAAGTTTAGCACTTTCCAGAGTTCTGTGAATTTTTCTAGCAAATTATCCAACCTGAGGGGGGTCATAGGGATCCCTGAATTTGTAGCAGGCTGAAGAGAAGTATAGCAACTTAGGGATACCTGAGTTACACTGGTGTCTGACGTGGGGGCAGTCTTGTGGGACTGAGCCCTTAACTTGTGGGGTCCGCGCTGAGTGGTTAGTGTCAGACCTGAATTGAATTGCAGGACACCCAGGCGGGGTTGGAGAACTGGCTGTAGGACATAGAAATAATCCTGTATAAAGCCACCGAGTTTGGGGATGGTTGGTTTCTAAGTAGTAATTACTGATACACCATGTAAGGGACAACTCAGGGCACAGAGGTAGCAGGGGATGGCTGCAAAGCTTCTTCAGCAACAGACTATTTGAGAAGTGTGAGAAAACACACACACACACACACACACACACACACACACACACACACACACACACACACGAAGCCTATAAAACAGCAAGACAGTGAGTGGCCTGCTCAGTCCGGAGTTTCTGGCTCCTCACCCACTAGCTCAGTCCCCAAAGGCAGCCACACTCCATCCCTTGGCTTAGGTTTCACAGTACAACACAACCCCTCTGTATTAGCCCCCAGAGCACAGAAGGCAAAGGTGCCAAGGCACAGAAACGGTGCCTAAAACAACGGTGCCCAGGGCGGCTCTTCAGCTTACCCGAGGCCCTGCTCTGGGCCAGGTAAACCGCAGGCATCGGATGCCACGCAGGCCCACTTACCTTTTGCAGGATCGTTGTGGCTAGTTCCTCAGTCAGCTCTTCCTTGTGGTCCCGCAGGTAACTGGCTTCATGCTGCTTGTCCTGCAGAGGGAGGGAAGAAAACGATCTCATGCTAGGGATGGGTTTGGGGGACTTAGCATCACTTTTTGGGAGTCCTGACCGCAGATGCAGGGGGAGGTGGGGCACTGCTCCTGTGACGCTGGTTTCCTGACGACCTGCACTCTCTCCCCGCCGCCCTGACCCACACCTCCCCACAGAGAGGAGGAGGGGGGCTGTACCAGGCTGTCCCCGTAGGCTTCTGCTTTGGAAATTGCCTCCTCGATGGCCTCTTCAGCCACGCGTAGGGCGACAGCCAGTGTGTCCATCATGCTGTGTCCTAGACGGGAAACAGAACATAGATCACTTTTTGAAAGGGAAAGACAAGTAAAATGATTGGTCTACTTTAAGTTCTTCTGATCAAGTCTTTCAGGGACTCTGGGGTAATTTCCACACCGCTTACCCTGCACACGAGCCCCTTTCCCTCCTCACCCACCTCACTGCCTCCCGCAAGTCAGTCACGTGCCCTGCCCCAGACACAACACACTGATTCTTTGACAGCTGTCATCTCTCTCTTCACGACTCCATTATCTTGTTCTTTCTTACTCTGGTCCCCTGCTCTGTAACCGAGCTGATTCCTGGCGACCCTGAGGCCCGGTCCAGGGGTTCTTCCTCTCAAAACCCTTTTCAGATCCCTACTGTTACCCCCTTGGCTGGACACCCATCTGAGGTTCTAGGGTTGCTTCTCTCGAAGCCAGAAAGTCCACGCCCTCCCACAGGTCCTTCTCAGAGAGCATGCTTTGATCCTAAGTAAAAATTATATGTTATTTTGTGCATATCCTGTATCATTGTGATGACAGGGATAAAAATCATCAAATATTCTAAGGGCACTAGGCTGTGCATATGGTTTAATGGAAACACAAAATTCGTGAACGAAGTTTTTAGACTCTACATCAGTACTATCAATACAATAACGCTGGCCAACTTCACCGAGCTCGACCACAGGCTGGATGGCAGGCCGAGTGTCACATACAGGATGACAGTTAATCCACACGACAATCCACTGAGTAGGTACCATTTTACAGATGAGAGCACTGACGCACAGAGAAGTCAAGTCACTTGCCTGGGGTTACGCGGAGAGATAGAAAGAGACCTGAGATTTGATTCAGGACTGTCTGTCTCCAAAGCCTTTGATTCGAACCACAAAGGTGATAAAAAAAGATACGAGCCAACATGATTAAAAAAATAATGTTCTCGTATTTTAGTGACCATATTTTTTGTATATGGCAACAAATGAGAGGACATATCCAAAGGTCAAAGGACTTCTGCAGGTGACAAAATTCTTTTTGGAGCTGCGTACTTGGAAGAGTTCCACTTCCTCGAGGTACTGGATTTTTGCTTTTTATTTGAGAGGGAGAATTTCTGTCATTCCTCTCCGTGTACCCAGAAGCCCAGTGCGCGTTGGGCACGAGCACACAGGTCTGCGAGGGCTGCATGCCTGTGACTCCTTTCCTCCTGTTTCCATTTATAATCTCCTAGTCATGCATTATTTAACATATGCAATTCTCCTGAAAGCCACCTCCAATTCTCTGTAGAATGAGACAAGGTGTAAATACACCCATTCATTAATGAATCAATCCCTCAATTAAAAAAACTTAATTCAAGCTTCTTAGGCTCCTGAAGACACAAATGTGGGCAGAAAGTGGCATTTGGTAAACAAAATAAAATCTCCAAAACCAACTCAGTTAAGGTCAAAGTGATCGAGCCAAACGATGAGTACATTGCAGGCTGACATGACAGTCACGACAGCCATGAAGGGGCAACATAGCTTAGGGCTCTGACTGGACACACAGGTTTCCCAATGTTTCCATAATCAAGGGCCATAAAATTTAAGTCGTCACCACACGAAGTGGTCCACAGAGACACATTGCACCTCTCTTCTTTGACATCCATCGATGTATTTTTCACAGACGAGGTGCTCCACAAATTCTCCCTGAATCGATGTTTACCAAGTTCCTCCCAAGTGCTATGCTCCGAGAGGACCCCAGCGGACAAGCTGAGTCCACGCTCTCATGTGCTTGCCAGGCTACTTACTGAGTGATCAGAGGCAGAAGTAAACGAACTGCTAAGAGGTGTGTAGTAGATCCTGTGAAAGGGATGGTTACCACGTTCCACGGGCCCCTACAAGGCCAGAGCCTGGAACTATAACCAAAAAAAAAAAAAGGCTCTGGATGCCGTGTTTATGAGTTTTGGGTGAGGCTGATGTGGAGCACTGAAGATGTGTTTGCTGAAAATGAAGACTCGGGAAGGTGTTTTAGAGAGAAAATGTGGTGGGGTGTGAGGGAAGGGTAAAAGGTTAAGAAGGTAGAGTGACCAAAGCTCAGAACACTACTCAGATGGAAGGAAGATTAGTTCTATGTGCTAGCTTGGCTAGGCTACTGTACCCAGGTATGGCCTCAAACACCAACCCAGGTGCTGCTATGAAGGTATTTTGTACACGTGGTTCACATCTACAATGACAGATTTGAAGTAAAGGAGAGAACCCTCAAAAACGTGAGTGGGCCTCAGCCAGTCAGTTGAAAGGTCTTACGAGCAATAGCTAAGGTTTCCCTGGGAAGGAATTCTACCTCAGGACCGCAGCATCACCTCCCGTCTGGGTCGCCAGCTGCTGCCTTCCTCTATAGACTTGGAGCTTGCCAGGTTCCGTAATTGTGTGAGCCAAGTCCTTAAAATAAAATGAACCTCTTTGCACGCGTGCGTGCGTGCGTGTAGGTGTGTCCTGTTGGTTCTGCTTCTCTGGAGAACCCTGACTGATATAGAGGGTCACTGAGATGTTAATACGGGAGCGGTGAGGGCAGGGAGGTGCTTAGGCCATGGGGTTCGGAATAGAAAGAAAAGGATCAAATTGGAAATGGAGCTGATAGGAACCCGGGTAACTGGTGGAAGCAGGGACAGTGGGCCTAAGTGGCTGAGGAGTATGATGAGGACAACTTGAGGTTAAGATCCCTGGGGGTTTTACAGGTCCTGATGGTCAAGCATTAGGAATCAAAGTCTAGAACTCCGGGTGGAAATCAGGGCTGGGGATTTCAGGCTCAGCAGTAAATAGTGGCACACTGAGGCCGTATCATGGTGTGCGGCAGCCCAAGGAGAAGTTTCACACAGCACGGATGAGAAAGGACAGAACCTTCATGGGAAGGTGCCCCCGAAAGAGAGTAGATGAATGCACAGAAGAGCTGCGGGGGCCAAGAATCGGGGAGATGCAGGAGGCGCTGGTCCTCATGGCCCAGGACTCCGGAGAAGGAGCTGAAGTGTTGGAGAAGGTTCTATGTCAAACTAGAAGTTTGTTTTGCCTTTAACCTCTGCCCTAAGGGACTATGATACTGGTATAATAAAAAGTATGAGTTAATCAGTAAATGATACATCCTTTATAAGACTATTTTAATATGAATTGCACACCTATATTGATTTTTCTATTCTGGCTACGGAACACTCGGTGGTTGATCAGTAAGTATCGAGTGGTTGGGTAGTGAATGTATTTCTCTAGGCCTCGGATAGACTGACCTATTTTGATGATGGATTCATACAGATAGCAATAACAAGAAGACCCATGGAGACCCCCACACAGCCGTATACATGAAACGAAGCTGTATCCAGTGGTTACATACAATGCAACTGGGAGACCCTGACTATCGGAAGGTGTTTCTCTTCTCCCAACTTCCCATTAGCTGTGAACTCTTCAGCAATCTTACCTTCCGACTGCTTATAAAATGTTGACTCACTTCCTGAAATACTTCCTTCATTCTCCAGGTTTGCCTCAAAAAAGCTTCCTCCTGGAGGGAAGAAAGAGAGAGAGAAGGAAGGAGGGAGGAAGGGAGGAGGAGAAAGAGAGAGAGAGGGAGAGTGGGAGGGAGAGAGAGAGAGAATGAATATGACTATTAAAGGTCTCCAGTTAGCACCGATTTTCTGCGTCACCAAATTGGCAAACCACCCTTACCCATTTTGATTAAGTTAGCTTTGCAAATAGGTTTAGGGAATCACCAGCTCCCACAATAACACTACAGTTTTTAACAAATCAGATTTTTCTTCTCACATTGATTCCTAGTGTAGTATTCTGCCTCCCCAACTTTCTTCCAGTATCTTCTATGGATGCAACGTGGAGTCAAAGACAGAAAAAGTAGATTGAAGTCAGAGAGATGTGAGGTCAATTTCTGGACGTGCAAATTCCTAGTCATGTGACCTTGAGCAAGTGACTGAAACTCGCTGACACTAGGCTTCCTTACTACAAATGGAGGACTAAGGAGAGTGCCCTTCTCACTGTGAGGAGATCTCATGTGGCTGGTCTTTAGCTGCAGTCCTTGGCATTCATCCAAACAGTTGCCCTAGGCTTATGATTTAACTGTCATCATTCTCTTCTGTAGAAGAGAGTCCACGTGAAACGAACCCAGAGTGAGACAAAGTAAACCATGCCATTTGATCTTTCAAGGCCCTGCTGCCTCTTCTCTGGTCTCCTTTTTCCTGAAAACATAACCTTCGTCTTAGTTCCAGGCTGGGAAGGGCAGTTGGCTAAGCCTTTTTTAAAGCCCTTTTTAAGTTGGGCATTTTGATTATATGTGTTCAGATCAAATGAGAAATCTAAACACGGGGCTGATAGATTTTTTTTAAGTCACTGTATTGTATCCCTAGTACCTAAGATAGCACCTAGCTAGCAGGTGGCTCCAAAACAAATTTATTGAATCAGATGCTGGTGGAAAACACTATTTTGACAGAACCAAGAAAATAAAAATGGGTCTACATTCCATAGCTCAAAAAGGGCAAATGTCATTGATCCCAATCAAACTAGGCAACAGGCATTCAGTACATATAATACACCTTGTACGTCCTTGGATGGGCTGCCATGGGAGTTCTCACATGGGAAGTCCAAGGGTAGCTGCATAAGTATCTGTAGCGGGTTGGTAGCTGCTACTGTTAGGAAACAGGCCTTTCGTGTGCAGCCTGTCATGGTAACTCAGTCTGACCATATACCAGGCTCTGTGTTTGTGTTTTTTGACAAGGCTTTCGAAAGACCTGAAGTCCATTTATTCTAGCTCTGTGACCTTGAGGAAGTGATTTTATCTTCCTGGGTCTCAGTTTCCCCAGTTATAAAATAAGATTTTAGGTTGAGTCATCTCCTCAGTTCTCAGGCTATATATATAAGCAAATATTTCACGTTGGCATGGCTACATCCAGCATTCAATCATCCATCCAGCAAATATTCCCTGAATACCTTCTAGTTGCCTGACCCTGGGCTGGATGTTAGGGTATATTGTGAGCAAAACCAGAGATTCTCACTGCCCTGGCAAACCTGATAGTCTAGTGGTAGAGAACTGATTAATCAAAGATTTATATAAATAAATATAAGATTATAAATATGTTAAGTGCTCTGATCGGGTTCCTCACAGTA